AAGCGACTTGACACAACCGCAGCGGTTTCTGTTGATGTTCTTCGGATTTAACGATTAACTGTAATTATACCAACAATTTTAAAAATTTAATATTAAATATAGATTATAATAACATCATAGCATACTGGCACATTTGCGAAAACTTGCAGGGCTGGAGTCAGACTCAAAGCCATCAGAACTGGCAGAAAAATGGCGACTCGTCGAAGTGGTCTGGCTGGTGGAAGTCAGACTACACGAACGATGGCTGGCATCAGGGGCAGCAATCGTCAAACAACGGCCAGTCTGGAGGGTAGCAGTCAGACGGCTGGTCGCAGCAGCAGGGCAGCTGGGACAAGCAGCAGGGCGGCTGGAACCAGCAGCAGGGCGGCTGGTCACAAGGCTGGACCAAATGAGTAAGATGAAAGTCAGACCTCTAAGTTGCATTGCATAGGCATACTAATCTCGTTAGACGATGATATTATTTTGATCCAGCCGTGTCCTGCTGTCCGAAATTGAGCTCCAAGCTTGAGCTCCTCTCAAATTTTATCGCTGGCTCTTCAAGTCAAGAGTCAGACTCGGAGATCCTTTGCCAGAGTGCCACCATTTCCGAGTCAGATAAGCCCAGAAATGAAAAAGTGTGTGAACGTGATGATGTAATTATCTAAGACAGTCAGACAGTGTTAGACCACTTCCGACTAACATGAGCAGGTGTGGTCAGACTTGTGACCTCGACCAGCTCTGTGCTCAGCGTCGATGCAAAGCGTGAGTGTTATTATAGTAGTAGGTTCAGCGCATGTTCAGGTCGGGACGTCCTTCTCCAGCCACATTGGTCGGATGGTCAGACAGGTCAATGGCTCAGTTCCTGACGACATGAGTCGAGTTGGGAGTCTGAGTCACAGCAGTTGCGCTTCAGCATGAATCAGGTGTTGGCCTCGACTCGTTTGAGCATGCAGCATGGTTCCGTACCCAGATTCGTTCTTGAATCAGCGGCGGTTGTTGGTTGTTGTTTGGCATCGCTTGCTGTGCAACTCCCTTGTCGTTTTCACTGCCGTCGTCAGTCAGACATACATGCACACAAGCAGGCCGCAAATCTACTTGACTTACTACTGTAGACTTACACTACTGTAACTGCTTACGACTAACTACTTTGACAGGTTACTTGCTTCGTAAATCAGTGTGACTTTGAGCAGGCGTGGAGGGTGCGTACTGGGATCCAGTAGGCACCCTCCATGCGTGCTCAAAGGCGCAGTTTGCTAGTCAGATATAGTGTCCAACTCAGAAGTCCAGCAGCAGCAGTGCAGTATAAGCAGTAGTAAGTAAGGCTAGCTGACTAACGCTAAAGACTGTCAGACCATGAGGGCCCGCAGCCCCGATGTCGATCACCAGCGGCGGTGCGTGTCAGAGCACGGATCACTCAGGGCAGCCACCAAAATCTGCAACCGCTGCTTCTTCATCAAGCACCGCCGGAAGTGGTCACGTGCTTTTGATTGGTTGGTCGAGTCAGACCCTGACAAGCCTTGGGGTTTGGGCTGCAAGTATTGCCGCGACTTTGGCTGCAGGTCAGACAGTGGGCAAGCACCGTCGGTTAGAGGTTATAAATTATGGGATCAGCCTGTTCGAGATTCTCCGTGGACAAAGTGTCAGAAATTCACGAACGGCAAGATTCAGAAGATTGACCTTGCCAGACATGCTCTGAGCACGGACTTCCACCAGGCCGCTGTGAAAGCCGCCCAGGGATCGTCAGACCCCGGGCCCGGTGGCGAGGACAATGCTGACAATTGCAGGTCAGAGCACGCTCCCACAGCAGCCCAGATTCGATTGGCCGTGGAGGTGGTGCGAACGCCTTTAGGAGCCCAGGCAGAGGAGTACGTCAGAAGAGCGGAGATTGCAAGTCGGTCAGACACCCAAAACTTCCCGGCTGCACATAACAAGTCTTACGACCATGCCCGCATCGTCAGACTTTTGGCCAAGCTTCTGCATTTCAACTGCAATTACAACGACGGCACAGAGGGCTTGACAACTACACATATTATATCATTTTAATAATAATAATAAATAATATGTAATAACTAATTAATTAAATTAGAGTCAGTTTGATTTCTTTACATCACGTTTTCGTTGATGAATCATATGATACGACTGGAACTACAAAATAAACGAATACCAGGGTCTGTCATAGTTTACAATATGTAAATAAACTAATAAATAATAATAACCAAAATTATGCATAGTTAAAGTTTAATATTATTGTTATTGTACTGAAGATTACAGAGAATCAGCATGATCTTAGGTATGACAACGACCGCTTGCTGTTCAAGAAGAACAAAGTTATTTCCACTGGATGGGCCGAGGACACAAGAGTTGGGGTTGGAGTCGTATCAGATAGTAAAGCCGTGAGGGTCTAAGGCTTCAACCGGACAGTGCCAAAGACACTGGTTGGGTGAATTAGTGTCTCTGACACTGTCTGTTTAGTGTTTTTGGGGTTTAGGGTTTGCTGGGTGGAGAGGTTTGGTTGCTTTTGTGCAAACGGACAGTGCCAGAGACACTAATTCAGCCAACCAGTGTCTCTGGCACTGTCCGTTTGGTGTTTTTAGGGGTTTGAGGGGCTGGAGGGAGAAGTTTCGGCGGCTTTTGTGCAAACGGACAGTGCCAGAGACACTAATTCAGCCAACCAGTGTCTCTGGCACTGTCCGTTTGCATTTCTGTGGTGCTGGTCTGCAAAAAGGCAAACGGACAGTGCCAGAGACACTGGTTCAGCCAACCAGTGTCTCTGGCACTGTCCGTTTCCAGGGAAACTACCCAGGAATAAGGTTGGGCCTGTGGTCTAGGGTTTGGTGTTCGGGTTTAGGGTTTGAGGGGCTGGAGGGAGGAGTTTCGGCGGCTTTTGTGCAAACGGACAGTGCCAGAGACACTGGTTCAGCCAACCAGTGTCTCTGGCACTGTCCGTTTGCATTTCTGCGGGGGGCTGGTCGGCAAAATGGCAAACGGACAGTGCCAGAGACACTGGTTTAGCCACCCAGTGTCTCTGGCACTGTCCGTTTCCAGCGAAACTGCCCACGAATATGGGTGGGCCCGTGGTCTAGGGTTTGTTGTTCGGGTTTAGGGTTTGAGGGGCTGGAGAGAGGAGTTTCGGCGGCTTTTGTGCAAACGGACAGTGCCAGAGACACTGGTTCAGCCAACCAGTGTCTCTGGCACTGTCCGTTTGGTGTTTTTAGGGGTTTGAGGGGCTGGTGGGAGGAGTTTCGGCAGTTTTCGTGCAAACGGACGCTGCCGGAGACACTGGTTCAGCCAACCAGTGTCTCTGGCACTGTCCGTTTGGTGTTTTTAGGGGTTTGAGGGGCTGGTGGGAGGAGTTTCGGCGGTTTTCGTGCAAACGGACAGTGCCGGAGACACTGGTTCAGCCAACCAGTGTCTCTGGCACTGTCCGTTTGGTGTTTTTAGGGGTTTGAGGGGCTGGTGGGAGGGGTTTCGGCGGTTTTCGTGCAAACGGACAGTGCCAGAGACACTGGTTCAGCCAACCAGTGTCTCTGGCACTGTCCGTTTGGTGTTTTTAGGGGTTTGAGGGGCTGGTGGGAGGAGTTTCGGCGGTTTTCGTGCAAACGGACAGTGCCGGAGACACTGGTTCAGCCAACAGGCACTGTCCGTTTGGTGTTTTTAGGGGTTTGAGGGGCTGGTGGGAGGGGTTTCGGCGGTTTTCGTGCAAACGGACAGTGCCAGAGACACTGGTTCAGCCAACCGGTGTCTCTGGCACTGTCCGTTTGGTGTTTTTAGGGGTTTGAGGGGCTGGTGGGAGGAGTTTCGGCGGTTTTCGTGCAAACGGACGCTGCCGGAGACACTGGTTCAGCCAACCAGTGTCTCTGGCACTGTCCGTTTGGTGTTTTTAGGGGTTTGAGGGGCTGGAGGGAGGAGGTTCGGCGGCTTTTGTGCAAACGGACGCTGCCGGAGACACTGGTTGAGCCAACCAGTGTCTCTGGCACTGTCCGTTCCGTGGTAAACGAAAACCCCCGCAGCCGGGACTTGAACCCGGACCTCTGGGTCGGGACACACCCTCCCAGCGTTGCTCCATTACACTACCGCAGGCTTATTTCTGGAGAGGCTTCGCGTGTTATTACCTTCGAAAATTCGCAAACGGATGGTGCCAGGGACACTGGTTCAGCCAACCAGTGTCTCTGGCACTGTCCGTTTGCAGTTCTGCGGGGGGCTGGTCGGCAAAATGGCAAACGGACAGTGCCGGAGACACTGGTTCAGCCAACCAGTGTCTCTGGCGCTGTCCGTTTGGTGTTTTTAGGGCTTTGAGGGGCTGGTGGGAGGAGTTTCGGCGGTTTTCGTGCAAACGGACAGTGCCAGAGACACTGGTTCAGCCAACCAGTGTCTCTGGCACTGTCCGTTTGGTGTTTTTAGGGGTTTGAGGGGCTGGTGGGAGGAGTTTCGGCGGTTTTCGTGCAAACGGACAGTGCCAGAGACACTGGTTCAGCCAACCAGTGTCTCTGGCACTGTCCGTTTGGTGTTTTTAGGGGTTTGAGGGGCTGGTGGGAGGAGTTTCGGCGGTTTTCGTGCAAACGGACAGTGCCAGAGACACTGGTTCAGCCAACCAGTGTCTCTGGCACTGTCCGTTTGGTGTTTTTAGGGGTTTGAGGGGCTGGTGGGAGGGGTTTCGGCGGTTTTCGTGCAAACGGACAGTGCCAGAGACACTGGTTCAGCCAACCAGTGTCTCTGGCAGTTTGAGGGGCTGGAGGGAGGAGTTTCGGTGGCTTTTGTGCAAACGGACAGTGCCAGAGACACTGGTTCAGCCAACCAGTGTCTCTGGCACTGTCCGTTTCCAGCGAAACTGCCACAAATAAGGCCGTCCTGGTTTGGTGTTCGGGTTTAGGGTTTGAATTGGAGGAGTTTGGGTATTTGTGCAAACGGACAGCCCCAGAGACGGGGCAAACCAGTGTCTCTGGAGCTTTTCGAGGGCAAACCAGTGTCTCTGGAGCTGTCCGTGTAACAAAAATGCAGATATGCAAGAACATGTGTGGCAGGATGTCAGGGGCGAGTTCAACTTCGTGAAGTTCAAGTTCTGCCTGTCAGACCTCACTGTCGTTCGTCGAATGGCAGACTTGCGTGCCGTCCAGGGCAGCAAGGTTTGCGTTGCAACAAACGGTCAGACCTAGAGTTGTAGAGACTCTGCTGATGCCAGGCAGCTGGGTGGAAAGTGGAGAAAGCGAAGGAGACAATGGAGTTTTTCGCGAACCGTGACGACGAGGTTCTTGACAAACTCCGTCGGACAATTCGTGCGACTCGTGGTTAATTTATTAAATTATTATTGGTGTCATTGTGTCACATTCTGGGATGTTTTTGTGTTGCTTTGCCTTTGAGGTATTTTGTGCGGATGGGGAGCCGGCGGAGCAGCTGATGCCTCGCTTGGCCAAGGTGCCTTGGTATTAAATTCGGACTCGGCTCATTCGACACTTGACGTCATGAGGTCGGCAACGTTCTTCCGTCGTTAGACGCCTCCATTCGATGTTTCTCTCATGCGGCACAAGCCAGCTTGGAGTCGATCGTCAAGTCAGACGAGAAGATGGGCTATTTGATGGATCGTCTGGTTACTCGCTTTGCTGACACACACAGCAGGGGATCCTTGGCCAGGGCATTAAAAAATAGCCCAAAGTTGGCATCCATGTTTCGATCTGAAGTAAGACTGGAGCCCAGCGTGGTGTCAGAGCTTTCGGCCAGCTCTGCGATGCAATCAAGCTTTGCAAGTCAGAGGTGGGACTCCACAGTAGAGGCCCTTAGGTTGATCGTCCTCAGATTGAACGAGATTCTGAAGTTCCTTTGCAAGGTTTGCTTGACGGACGACAACCGTGACTGGGCACTGTCAGTCCTCCAGGCCGGGCGAGTGGGTCAGACTGACATGATGTGAAACCTGTGTATAATATCAGTTTTTTAAATGATGGATAATAAGCTTGCAGGTTTTTACCTGGCCGAACATCATTGCCATGTGCTTGCTTGTGGAGTTCATGTCGTGCGTCAGACAGCACATCCACTCGTTTGACAATCAGGGCGGCACTCGTGGCAGCGGCTCTCGTCAGAAGAATGTGAATGGCAATGCTGTTAGCAGGATTGTTTTCGCATCTCGGAGGTCCCGGATGGTGTCAGAAATGCTGGCAAGGTTGTTTGATTATGAGATCAACGGGACGAAACACAAGCCACTCGTGTTAGATCGGAACTTCACCCACGGGTACTGTCAGATTGCAGCTGAAGCTCTGAAGTTCGGTGCCTTTGCTGCACAGTCAGTCAGACCTTTTCATCCAGGTTTGGCAGCACAAGTCTCCGACTCTGAGGCAGTCAGAAATCGTTCTCTGTTGTCCACAAGGGCCGGTTGCTGTATCGCCTCTACAGCTGCTTGGCGTGGCATTGGCGCACAGTCCGCTCACATTCTGCAAATTTAATTATATTCAGACCTCAATCTGTCAGCCAAGGCCACGACTTGGATCTGAAGTGTTTGATCGCTGACGGCCTCGGCTCCATCGCCAACATGAAGCGAGCCTATCTTCAAAGCGTCTTGTCAGACCACGAAGCTGGTCTGGGAGAGGCCTTCGAGCCTTTCGACGTAACACAATGGGTGGAGACACGGGATGACAAGGCTCTGTCCCTGGGCCGCCGTTTTGATAGCATTGGTGCGTATAGTCTAAGAAATTTTAATTATGTATATTTATTATTAATACTTACATTTAAAATAATAATAACAATTTGAATCATGTGTAACAGTGGTGCCCGAGGTCAGACGTTCTGCGGCCATTGGCGACGGTGGGCAAGGTGGAGGCCGGTGTCCACACCGTCACGATTTGCACGAGTTGCACTGTTTTCTTAGTTTTGGTCACCAGGTGGAACCGCTGGTGAAGGAGCTGCTGGTGGCCAGACCGACAGCACTGGCTGCGATCAGGCTGTATTTGTCGTTTTGTAGACTCTGAATTTAAATTAATATCATTGTGATTTTAGACTGACATGCTTGTTAAAAGTCTTTGCAGGAGGGGATGCACGGATCCAGAAATATTTTGGCCAGAGGTCTTGCGGCACTGGGGCCGTAAGACACTTCCCATACTGAACAATCTGGCTGCTTGGTGGCAATCAGAGTCAGATTCAAGAGTCTTGGCGGCCTTTGTCAGACTCGGCGTGTGTCCTTTGCGAGCGATGAGGTTCCCTTCATGCTGAGCATCTGGGTGAGCTCGTCAGAGCTAGAACAAGATTTCTCCTACCTTCAGCTTTTTCAGTTGAAGAGTCGCATCTGTGAGACACACCTGCGGGACTTGCTCAAGGTTCTGCTTGATGGGCCGTCGGTGTCAGACTTGTGTCCTATGAGTCGTTCGTCAGACGGCAAGATGCAGTACACCTCCACAGACATGATTTTGCGATGTCAGGCTTTGTATCGCAAGACTTTTGGGACGGCTAAGAATCAGCGGAAGACACCAGACCTGCCAAGACGAAAATTGTCAGAGAAGACAGCTGCTCCTAAAGGCGTTCAGGGCTTTCTCCGAGTCAGACATGATGAGATAACATCATTGATGAAGCAACAGCGGGAGGCATCAGGGTCAGACCAGACTTTGGAGCAAGCAGGCCTTGAGGAAATCACTGCGAATTCGGCCACCAAGAAAGCCACCGCCAAGCAGCAAAGCCTTTGTAAGACTATGCGAGACAATCAAGCACCTGGCCTGATGTTAGCCCATTAGTGACTGAAATTTTTCGAAATGTAATTTTAATTACCTTTGCATTGAACAATCCAAAGCGCGGTCCGTCCAGGACAAGAAGAGGAAGGCTTTGGAACTTCTGGCCGATGGGTCAGACCCGCATGCAGAGGCGACCTTGCAAGCTTGTCAGCAGGAGATGCAGGCGAGAGAAGTAGCTGACCTCACACGACGTGACTTGCAATGGTCAGAGAGGAACAACTGCACATTATCATTTTCCTGCAGCTGCGTCCTGATGCCTGGCATTGAACTTTCGTCAGACGAGCAGTCTCTGCTTGCCAAACTGAGAATCAAGACCTTGGCCTGGAAGTCAGATGTGGAATTCTTCCGGGAACTGTTCCAGGTTAAGGACCTGATTTGGTTTACAAACGGGGACGAAGGTCAGATTGTGTGCCAGGGCGGTCTTCGCTCGGCGTGTCAGTCCACTGGTCAGACTGCTGGTCAGACTAATAACGACGACGAGTCAGACAATAAGACGCCTGAGTTAGAAAGGTTGCCCGCTTTCCTCATGGCATCTCGTTTGGTTGGTGGCTGGGTGGCAGGAATCGAGTGGCTTGTGGAGTGTAAGAGATTGGGATGGAAGCTGCAGCCAGTGCTGCGACTGGCACGTGCTGTGAGTGTTCCCCGTGAGCTGCATCTTCATAACTCGTCAGAGTTTTCCTCCATGATCAGCCAGATCGTGTTCGTGGGCTGTCAGATTGCGAGTGCGAACTGCCTGTGGTCCACCCGTGACTCCCGTAAGAACCTGCAGCTCGTTTGCAATTGATTGTTGCATGTCAGTACGATGCCGTTGTCCGCAATTATTAACGACTGTGTGCCAGGACCAAGAAGAGGTCGTGGGTCCTCATGTCAGAGAAGATTTCCAAGAAGTCCAGGGAGAAGGACAAAGGCCGCATCAACAAGAAGAGCGGTAACCCGATCACGTCTGATTATTTTTTCGAGCAGATCACAGTGCTCCTTGTCTGATTCTGGCCTGACATGTCGCATGAATTGAATCGTCAACTGCAGTGGTAGCAAATGGCACGACGAAGGTGGTCAGACATGCGTGATGCCCTGTAAAGACAGCCACAGCCAGTGAGGCCATCGGTCAGACAGCAGTGTTGAGTCAGTAGTGCTGGAGTCGAAGCTGAATCGGAATGAACATGCAAGGGTTGGAAAAAAGGGTTACCGTTGCCTGCTTTGGTTGACATGCGAACTGTTCAGTCGGATTCTGCTGCTGAATTTCAGCGGAAGCTCTGTCTGGGAATCATTTGAATGTCAATCAGGTCAGACGATGGTCAGCAGCGGAACCATGGACATTATGAATGAAGGCAGGGAGCAGCCCTCGTGACAGCGTTTGCTTTGGCGGGCACAAGACCAGGACGTTGTGGAGAATCCTTGTCTCAAGGTGTTGGATCAACGTAGCTGCCGCAGGTCAGGTGTCTAGTAATTACCGCACTCTGTAGTTCTAATTATAATCATGATCATGTTCGCATGACGTCGTCAGACAGACGAATCCTGAATATCAGCATGGCAACGGTAGCAGTCGTGGACTTTCCCTTTCTGTGCTGTGCCAGCTATGGTCAGAAGCAAGGTGGTCAAGCTTCCACCCCACAAGGTTATTGGCGGCACACCTTTTCGAGCCCAGCCAAGGCGCCCAAGTAAGACTCCAAGAAACGATCGGCGTAAAGCAAAACCATCGCCAATCAAGGCACGCGGCAGCTCCGAGAGTGCAGAGGAGGCGTCAGACGATGTGGCCTCTCACATGGACATCGCTCTTCTTCTTGGCGGAAAGCGTGAGACTGGCACAAGGAGTCGCAGTTTGTCTGACAGCAAACCCAGTAAGACGGCAAAGCATTGGCCGGGAACGAAGAGTCACAGAAACAATTTGGATGATCGCCTTATCAAACAGAAACGTTTCCTCATGCCAACTTTGGTCATCGGCAGAACCGTCAGACAACTGTTGCACAAGATGAAGCCGGATGATTGGCGAATCTCTCCCAATGCTGTCAGACAACTGCACGAGGCGGCAGAGCTCTTCATCGACGACGTGTTTGTCAGAGCAGCAGCATTTCAGAGGAAGTGTGCTTTGCAAGCGAACTCAAAGTCAGACACGCTTTGTAAATTTCACATGGAGCTCGCCCTGATGTGAGTGAAAGGCTGACGCTGAGTCTGACCATCAGTGCACCAAATTCAATTTTGTTATGTCAGATCAGAAATGGTGCGGCAGGCATGCTGGCAGAAGCAAGTCAGCAAGAGTGTTAATGCACAGATTTTGGATGGTCAGACCGTCATCGTGTGCGATGAAAATGATTGCGTGGGACACAAGTTGGGCCTTCCGATTCCGCAAGCCCAACTAGCGTCCTCAGCACGCTGCGGACACAAGTTGGGCCTCTTAAACCCCCTCCCAGACCATTGCGACCCTGGACACACTTTGCCATGTTGGGACATTTGGCCCTGCAGAGGCCCAACTAGCGTCCTCAGCACGCTGCGGACACAAGTTGGGGCGCCTGACGCCGGAGGCCTAACTAGCGTCCCGTCGTTTGGTGTTGCATCTTAATCTGACAATGACATGCTTTTGGGAACTTGTGCTTTTGTCACAGGTGCCTACAGGAACATATGGCGGACTTTGGTCGGACAACCAGGACTGGCTTTGCAGTCTTTAGCTTGCGTGTAGGACCATTTACGGTTCACGAGCTCACGGGGCATTTAGTTTGCTGCTGCAGCTGTCAGATTGACGATCAAGCGACGCTGTTTGTCAGACCCCATGGCTCCTAAGCCGAAGACGAAGGGGGCTCAGCCGAAGGCAGCTCAGCCGAAGGCAGCTCAGCCGAAGGCAGCTCAGCCGAAGGCAGCTCAGGCCAAGGCTGCGGAGAAGCCAGCTGACTGTAAGACTCAGCAGGAAGCTTGTCAGACACCGTCTCAGAAAGCAGCGGCGACGGTGTCAAGCATGAGCACCTCGCCGGTGCACAATCACAGGCGTGTGGCGGCAGACATCCTGGCACCTCTTCTGGACTATGTCGAGGAGATGGAGAAGTCCGATGTCAGACCCATTGCCTACGCTGGCATCCAGGCGTTTGACTGCGCCAACTACGCTCAGGAGATGTCAGACAAAGGCAAGTACACGTGTGTGGTGCCCTTGCACTGGCTCGGTTTGGTGGCACCAGCCTGAGGCAGTCAGACAGCGTCGCAGTCCATAGACTGATCGCTCAGTTCACTGGTCCCTGTTCTATTCATGTCAGCTGAGGCATTCGAGTCAGATGTCTGGCCAAACTACGGAAGTATTGTCAGAAGTTACAAGCACCACTTCTGTACGTCAGATGGTCTCCTGACGGATAAGATTTGCCAGCCGCAGCATGCCACTACGAATCTTGCATGGATTAATTTTAAGTTTCATCCCGGCTGTGTGTACCAAGAAGGCACGGCCAGACGTGTCAGCATGGAATCAACTCAGGATCCGTGCTACCAGTAAGACTTCGCCTCCCGAGGCGGGGACATGGGAAGTCGCCGACAAGAGCGTCTTCAGGATGGGCTGGCTCATGGGGTTCGCGCAAGCACGTGAGACCAAAGCCATGGATGTGGTCAAGAGGTTCGAGGAAGCCAGCTGCTCTGTAGCCGTTACTTTCCAGCTGGTCGTGTCAGACGACGAGTTTGGTGTGCATCCGGGCTGCAAACCAGAGTCGAGTTTTGCAGTCCCCCAGTGTGGTTCGGTGTGCCTTGGGTTCCTGTCAGACAAGGCTCCGGCGACAGCTTGAGGAGAACATCAAGTCGGACGCTCTGACGGCCCAGCTTTTTGGCTACAAGGAGTGCCTTCAAACTCACCAGGTGTCAGAATCACTGAAGCGTCAGAACAAGCCGCATACATCGTCAGACGTTGCGGCTTGGTTCTCCAAGATCAACTTCGCGGAGGAGACCATCGGTCAGAAGACCGTGGAGTGCCACTTGAAGATCGTGAAACGTATGACTGAAGTGGCAATCAACCATTTGGACGGCTTGGAGTACGCTTTCGGTAAGACACACCCCTTGGCCAAATGGGCCGCGCTCGACACCCTCTGCGGTAAGACATCATGCCCCAAGAACCTTCCGCTGCAAGACAAGCTGCTGAACTTCGTTGTGGCTGGGATTCATGTCAGACTGCTCAGGGGCACGTTGGCACAAAACGTCAGGGAGGACATCCGCCACAAGGTCATCCCGTGTTTCCTGGCCTTGCGTCGGATCTCCCATTATGTGGCCTGGAAGATCCAATGTAAGAACATCGGAACGGTTTTTGGCGACTGGTCAGACTTCCATATCATGTTCCCTCGTGGCAAGTTCATGGAGCTTGCTGGCGGCAACACGCCAGAGGTCACAGCGTTTACGGAGAAGTTCGTCAGACCGTCAGAGCGAGCGGCAGCCACGGGTAGCTTGTCTGATTCGGCATGCCCGCCATAGCTTCATTTGCGTGCTGATTTGATTTGGTGTTACTGTTAGACACCAGGTCTCCACATGCTGTATGACGGGAACGCGGACCACATTCTCCTGAAATGCCTTTCCAGAGACTCGAACATGTCAGCAGAAGGTATTCTGGCATCGTCAGACTTCGCCTCCGAGGACCCAGAGTTTTGACAAAGAAGCAAGTGTGGGTTTTCACTTTTAAAACAAATTTCCTGTTTGCAACCGCCAGCAAGGATTTGTTTGACTTGGACAAGATTCTCCAGCTGCACGAGGAGGAGACCGCACCGCCACCGCCACCGAGTACGACGCCGGCAGCTGGCGAGCAGGACAGTCAGACCGCAGCCTCGGAGAGTGTTGTGGACGATGGCAATGACTCGCAGGCCACCCTGGTTCTGGGACAGCATCTTACGTCAGATCATTCTGTCGAAAAGCCCGTAGTGGACGAGCTTCTCGCGGAGAATGAGGACGAGCAGGTGATCAGCAAGGAAAACGAAATGGTTCGTCAGATGTTGGAGTCAGATCTTTTTCCTTCACTGACTCTGCCCAGTCTGGCGTTAGACAGCTTCCACAACGTCTCGCCAGATGCCGTGCAGAACATGTATTCCTTTGCCAGCTCTCGTCAGGTTCTTACTTTTAAGAAACCCTGAGGCTTCAGTCAGTCAGGTCATGAACCCATTATTATTGCAATTTTGTGTGTCAGACCACCGGCCTCTCAGGTCTGACACAGTACGCTACGTTCATTGAGGAGCCAGACAACAGCAAGTGGAAAGAGGCCCTGGCCCAGTCCGGGGGGAAGGTTGACAGGGTACTGTACATCTATGATGCAACGTGCCGGTACGACAGGGCTGCATTGTCTGGTAAGACCTATCGACTGCTTCCTCCACTGGACGAAAGTCATTACCAGAGCGTGCTGACGTCACTGTTGGCGCCAGAGGGTGATCCTTCAGCGACAGATACATTCTTCCGCAAGAATGACCTCTTGTTCCTGAAGGATGCCCGCAGGTCGAGCAACTTCAACAAGATGGGTCGCATCGCGTCTTGACTTGCACAAGATAGGTGAAACAGGATTCTGAATGAACCATTGAATATTAAAGGTTTAGTCTTCATATCATATTTGAGACAAGGTCAGACAAATCCTGAAGATGTGCCCCATGTCGGACTACCCGAAGAAGCCACTCGCCGTACCGGTCAGACTCTGCTACCACAACAACGAGTTTACCAAGGATGGTTACGTCAGAAAGAATGGCTCCATGGGCAAAATCACGAGCAGAATTGCATTGCCGGACCCTGTGGAGAACATGTTTGTCTTCGGTAAGACAAAATGTACGATGGAGACGCGTGAAAGGAAATGGT